ATTCACAATTACGGGTATTGTCTTAAGTTTCCAACACCATTCATCTTTCTGGACGCTTAACTGGTAAGAGCCAGGCACAACATCAGTTAAGGAAAACTTTCCATTGACAGCAACAGTGCTTCGAGGTGCACCAGAACCTCCCCGGGCAAATCTGAGAATCACAGTCAAATCGGGACACTTCTCCAAACATGTTATCTTGCCAGATATCTCACCTAAGAACTGTGAAAAAGACAACTGACCAATAGGATCTGACTCAACACTGAACACATGTTCAAGGGGACCAAATCTGAAAAGAAAAGAAAACTAAAATAATAAACACTGAAGCCAACCCGCTGTTTTGGAAGAAAAAGTTATAGTCAACTGAATACAGTAGTTAACTTACATTAAATTGTAGCTAGATGACACCAATACCTGGCAAAAAAAAAAAGAAGAGGTTTGATGGATCCTGATAACTCACTTTATAACCAAGCCCGGATGGAACAACTCATGAATATGTCTGCAAAGCTTGTGGTTTAGAACCCAAGGAAGCCCTGGGGAGTTAACTAAAGATTACTTCTCCTCTGAAAGTAACTGAAGTACTTTAAGGAATTAGAGAGACCTGCAACATTGGGAGCTAACGAGTCTTAAGCAACACAGCACGAGTACACACATTTCCAGGCAGGGAGAGGGTTATCATTATGGTTGTGGAAATTGGTTCCCATCTCTGAAACCTTTGGTATCTATTATCCTTATGAATTGTAAAATTAAGGAACTTCACCATTACCATCACCTGATCTCTTTTCTTATGGTTAGATTTGAGGGAGGTGTTTCTCCTTGCATTGAAATTCTAAGGGCTGTACTTTTAAACTGAGGGACGGCATTTCCCATGCCTGTCTTCTAGTATCTGACAGTCTTGATGCATGAAGGGGAAAGGAGTTGCTTTTAATTAGGTAGCTGCCTGCACTTTGTGCAGGGTGAGGGAAAGACAAGACCATTCTATAGTTTCAAGACTATGGTTGTAAAACACACTATGTCATGCCATTTCTTACAACCTAATCATTCTTTGCCTACTCTTAGCTCTCCTTTCCTCCACATTTAGATTCGTGCATCTCTTGACCCAGTTGGCAAAAGTTTAGTTATACTGTACCAGAATTTCTGTTAGACAAGTAATGTGATGTACTACTGAATGATGTTTATATTTGTTGTTTGTAAAGACTAAACAAAACTTTAAATGTAAATGAAGCCATTGGATCATTTTCAAAATATACCTCATGCCTGCCTCATCAGCAGCTGAAGAGAGTTTAACAGCAGCAGTATAGGAACCTGCAGCAAGGTGGGTGCATCCCTGACCCTCCACATCTGTCTGCACCTCCAGATGAGCTCCAGAATCACTATGAACTTGAATTATCCTGAAAAACATACAACAAAGCTCATACTCCTGGGAACTAATTTTATATTAATCTTCAATCGTACAAAATGCAGATTTTCTTAACCTTTAGGCCCCGGGTGACGTTCCAGAATGTCCGCCTATTTTTATTTTATTATTATTTTTGGAAAAGTTTATTTTTTCTCAATTTATCACCCGGGGGGGGGGGGTTACTGCCAGTCATTCTTCTTTATAAAAAACTGTACATTTGCATGCATACCCTCTGTATATGCACACACACACACACACTCAAATCTTTTAATTTCAGAAAGTTTCAGTACACTGAAAATTGTGTAAATTTGAAACCGATACATACTGTATACTGTACAGTAAATCATCAAAAAACTTAACGTAGTCTAGTTAAAACTGAGTGATCTAATATACAATAGGACTAGGCATGTGTGTGTCTGTCTGTCTGTCTGTCTGTTCTGGGCAGCCGAAACGGCACAATCTTTTTCATCAAACTTGGTGGAAAAATCGCAAAAAATTCGTAGAGTGGAACAAACCTGGTCTCATGTCAATGGTTTCTTTAGGAAGGCATTAGTTAACCATTTTATTTACGATGGAAAAAGATGCAAGTCTACGGACTTGGCGCACCCTCATTCGCTATATGCTTTCCAAGCACGAGCGTTCAAGCTTTCACTGGGCACAAAGGTGCCTGCGATCACTTGTTTTTTACTAAAGGTGGTATCAATGACTCCAGACGTTAAACCTTTCATACTACAGTATCTGCATCCTTCAATAATATTTATGTTTTTGGTATCTGCCCAGAACACCTATTATTGTGTCATAAAAGTTGGTGTAAAAAATACCATCCAAACATAGCAATATAGTCACACTCAGTGAGAGGGCCAATTAGAGGTAAGAATAAGCTCTCCTATGCAATCGACCAATTAATAGCTACAATGAGTTCCCCTGGGTGCCTTGGCTGATAAATGGTAGAAAAAGGACTATTTGGCCCTCTGAACCAGTCATATCACTAATTATTAAGAGGAAATAGTGTACTTTTACTTAACAATCACAATAAAGAAACTTTTACAATACAAAGCACTGTTGTTTTATTTGGTTAATATTTTATCAAGATGAATAATTACAAACAACCTGTAACCTCTGCCAAAAAATACAATCAATTAAAATGGAAAAAGATTTTTATGCAATATAACAGGTATTAAAAGATTTAAAGAACTACCTATGAGAGATAGATAACAGCTTAACAAGACATTCTAAGAAATGCTGTGCAATTCAAACTCAGCTGTATCATTAGAGATATAGGACAGTAATCATATGAGGAAGTGGAGTGTACTATATGCACTTAACCCTCCTGTGGTCTGTTGACGCAGATTGTGTCACTGAGCGCTCCCGTCCTGGCCTATCCCCTCCCGCTCAGCTATATCTCACACTGAGAGAACCCCTCCCATAAGCAGAAATGCTGGAACAGTGGATCAGACCTATCAACCACCTAAGTTCCTCCACTAGCCTTGTGAGCCAGCAGATGTATCTCTAAGGGTGCCATTTGGGTCTGGATCACTCTACCCAATGTTAACCAAAATGGAAAAACCATTCCTGTTACCGACGCAACCTCTGTTGAAAGACTGCTGTATTAACCAGTCATACGTGTTAGTTAGCGTAAAATCAGATGATAAATATTACGCTCAATTGCCCCCACTGAGATGTCCGTTTTCTCTATCGTCTGCTTTAGTACCTCAAGAAATCTTATGTTTGTGATTGTATATTTAAAATTACTAATGAATGCGTACCGTATATCTCGGCCTATAAGGCGTCGGGGTGCATAAGACGGCCCCCCCAAATTTCCATTTAAAAAGTAGTTTTTGAGCTCTATTAGCTGTATAAGACCAGTACCCCAAATGTGACACTTACCCACTGACTCAGTAGTCCTCTACCAACCATCCTTGGTTTTTTAAAATAAGGCCAATTCACTTCAAGTAATGTCATCAAATGTTACCCGCTGGTGTAGTGTAAACACTAGTGACGTCACTGAAGCGTCTGCTATTTACCGGTAACTGGAACTAATGTCGGTGTCGAGTAAAATTTTTCCATTTACTTGAAATGGATTTACCGATTTATTTGTTTATTTATAATATACTGTAACATATTAAACACACTGCAAGTATTTTCTTTAATTTATATGCTTGCTTCACACGAGACGATCGGTGGTGGGAGTGTTACCTCGTATCGGTGGTGGGACTGTGTTCCCACTGTTTACCGTACTTTTTTTTAGTAAGTTCTTTTTTGTTATATTTTTTACTAAAAGTGTTATTTTATGTGGATAAAAATGTTACAATGGACTTAAAACTATAAAAAATCATCTAAGCATGCTTGAAAACATACATATCGACACCAAGATCACCCAGATTGACCAACTACATCAATTTCTATAAGAAAAATCAACTTTTGAAGGCCAATATGGCGGTCACCTTGAAAAATGGTCGCCATCTTGAATTTTTAAATGGCCAATCAGGCAGACTTGACTAGTAACCATTAGAGAATTACCATGCCAAATTTGGTGCTTGTACCACCATTTTCATGATTCTCTTGAAAAATTGCATTTAGCTGCCCCACTAATGTCACCACTCCCATCTCAACATGACACTCGTATACTGAAATATTGTATTTCATACTACATATGACTTTACAAAAAGAAATGTCCACGTCTGGTTAAATAACTCTTGTAGATATAATACCAGTTGAATAAACGAAACTAAAAAACTGGAGATTGTAATTACAGTGAAGCCTTGACAACTCCATTATGAAGTTAGGGATTAGATGACGCCAAATACAATCACCTTAATGCACTTTAAGAGAGAGGAGTCACCGTGCCAGGGCTTAATATTATCCTGGACCCTAGAGGTTGATGACGTATTCAGTGTCGGGCAGAAATACATCGATGTACACAGCACATGATCCCAATCAACTCCAGTATAGGTGTTAATAATGTAGAGGTGACCAGGTGTGTTGCACGTTGGTAGTGTTGGATGGTGATGCAGGAAAGAGGTAGTGTGTTGAGGGTGGTGTGTGGTTATGACTCACTCCCACAACCCCCCCCACACCACTCACACATCCTCACAACTGTACCACAAAGCCCCCACACTACTCATACAGCATCCTCACAACACTACCACAACCCCCCCACACCACATCCTCTGCTTCTTCCTGGCCCACTGTCATACAGCATCCTCCTAGCACCACCCAACCCCCCCACCACTCACATCCTCTGCAACTGTCCACACAAAGCCCCCACACTCCTTTTATCCTCCACAACACTACCACAACCCCCCACACCACTCACACATCCTCACAGCTTTCCCCCTTCCCCCACCACTCACACATCCTCACAACTGTACCACCAGCCCCACCTCTCTTCTGCATCCTCCTACTTTTCTGCTGCACAACCCCACACCACTCCATCCTCTAGCTAGACCACAAAGCCCCCACTACTCCTTACCGCATCCTCCCTAACACTACCACTGCTGCCCCCCACCACTCACACATCTCTGGCCTGAACTTCACAGAGTCCCCCACACTACTCATACCACACATCCTCCCTAACACACCACTGCACAACCCCCACACACCACTCACACATCCTCACAACTGAACCACAAAGCCCCCACACTACTCATACAGCATCCTCATAACACTACCACAACCCCCCCTACACCACTCACACATCCTCACACACAACCCCCACCACTCCCACACATCCTCACCCAGCTTCAGACCCACCAGCCCCTATGCTGGCATCCTCACTTGCCTTACCACAACCCCCCCTACACCACTCACACATCCTCACACTACCACAACCTCCCACACCACTTACACATCCTCACAACTGTACCACAAAGCCCCCACACTACTCTTACAGCATCCTCACAACACTACCACAACCCCCCACACCACATACACATCCTCACAACACTACCACAACCCCCCACACCACTCACACATCCTCACAACACTACCATAATAAAATTAATTATTTCTAGTGTGGTCGACTTCCTACACAAAGACAGGCTATAAATAGCTGTCTTATCTCAACCTCCTTCCTTCCCCCTACATCCCTCTGTTCTCAGAGAGGTCTTGGTAAATAACTTTTGTTTGTTTATTTTCATTGTTTGTCTAATTTATCATGTTGTATCAAAGTAATATTACTAAAAGTTTTAGGCAGCTACCAAATGGGGAGATTCTACTGCCTGGGAAGATATTGGAAGCACAATGTACAGTATTGTCTAATGGTAGACCCTACTTCCATATGGCATCACGAACATTGTGACCAAGTCTTAGGTTGCTGATTTATCTTTCTGTCTCATTTACACACAATTGCAGAGTTTCAATTGTTTCTCTTCCTTTGACAACACAACATACATACAATATAATGTTTCTCACCTTTGATCTTTTTTCCATTTATTTATTGTTGGTTATTTAAAATAATGCCAATTCACTTCAAGTATTGGCATCAAATTATACCGGCTGGTGTACACTAGTGACTCACTTAAGCGGCAGTTATTTAATTGGAACTAATGTTGGTGTGAGTAAAATATTTCCATTTACTTAAAATAGATTTGCCGATTTATTTGTTTATTTATTTATTTATAATATACTGTAATACATTAAACACACTGCAAGTATTTTCTTTAATTTATATACTTGTTTCGCGAAAAAGGGAGGCTAGCATTATAACTGGTAGGTGATCATTAAGGACCAAACTCCGAATCCATGACTCCATGAAGTGACTTCTGTTCATCATTTATATCCTAAATTTACCACTGTCGGTAGTTTCAAGAATTAACGCAGTCATTTACTGAATATTCTTTGTAAAAAAATTAATTTTAAATTAATTATTTATAGGAGATAAGTATTATGATCAGTAAATATACAGATATGCATTACTGACCACCTCCGAACACAAGGACGGCTAAAAATAGCTACAGGCGGTCACAGTCAAGGTCACTTTCCCTGGTAGGACTTTGTGAGTGGTTTACCATGCTTCCATCACCACTCTTGACACGCAATATTTAAGAGGTAAGAATTTTATACTTGGTGATTAAGACGACCCCCTAACTTTGGGCAGATTTTTTTAATGTTCAAATTCCGTCTTATAAGCCGAGATATACGGTGATAGTAAGATCTCCAGTTTACACAGATCAAGTTGTTGCCAAAAGTAAAATACTTCACATCACATTTCACATTTTGAAGTGAAGTTAAAGGCAGTAAAACTTTTCCTTACCTTCATCCCATACCAGTTCTGAGTCATCGGCAGTTTTGTTAGCTCGTTGTTTGAGTTCCTGTCGTCGAGCTTCTGCTGCTTCTAATCGATGGACTTTATAAAAATAGTGATGCCAAAATACCACATGAGACACCTGAAACACATCAATACATTTGTTAAAAACACTTAACACAAATGTACTTTATCTCAGATTAAATTGTACAGTATATGTACTACATCAACATCCCCAAGACACAGTTGTTTTAAGAGTAGATTAAGTATTAATACAACCTTCTTTATCATACACTAATGTAAAATAGAATTACGGATAAACAGAAAAAATAATTATCATGAGACACAAAACACCGAGAACAACTCTTGCTGCTGCCTATCCCCAGGAGCAGAGGATAGTTGCCAGACAATACTAGCAGCCTTGCCTCACCATACCACCCCTTCTACCTCAATGTTAAATTAATACATTACTGTATATAAATGTAAAGTAAGATTAGCTTATGAAGATCAGAAATATTATAGACAATGAGAAGAATTGTTCCCTTCACATTCTTACCAACTCCCAAGAAACTTACCTGGGCTGGAACAAGAGAGGTATAATGATGTCTAAGAGGCTGGTTATTAACAAGGAGGTCAGAGAGCTCTGTCTGTCGGGACTCCAGGTCGAAGGTCGTCAACCAGGCTTCGTACTGTGGTTCTTCTCCCTCAGGGTCTGTCAGAAAGGTGGCTGGATCCTGAGATATTGCATATATGGCTGCCTGTGAACAACAAATAACAGACTATCAAAACATTTACTGCCTTAAGAGTCTTCTACAATGTCATTCAGATGGTAAACCATATCAATGTTCAGTACTAAGAGTTGTTTTTATGATATATGTACAGTGTTTCCCAGCTGTTATGACATAAGAGAACAGAAAAGGAAATTCATCAAGGTTTAAACTTTTTCTCCCCAAATGCTCTTAACTGGGGTCAGCAAATACTACAACCAAAATTACCCTTACTGAATCTTACTCCAATTGAGTTTTATAGAAGTAAAGTTACCAGTAGGTGACCATCAAATTAGTCATTAAATATTGAAATAAAGCTGACAAACATCATTCCAGGATGTTTAATATTGTAGATTACATTCTTTTAATAAACACCATCCACTGAAAGTTGACTGCTCAGTGCCCTCATTTACAATGACACCATGGTGATCAGTTCCAAGGGCATATATCATGGCACATCTTATTAGCATAAATATGTTTTCAGCACAATAAATGGCCATTTCAATTAAAAAATTATTTAAATAATTTTAAATTCATGAGGCAATATTGAAAGAATTTGTATCTAATATAAAATAACAAGTGTCATTTATGAGAATATAATTTTGGTGGGGTACAGTACTGTACTGTGTATTTGTTGTTTCTAAATCATTAACTCATAACATGTCTTCTGTAATGAAGCTCTCCTAATATATTACTTCACCTTAAACAAGTCTTGACTATATCCCAAGTTTTATTAGTTTTATTCCCTTGTATAAACTTGTGTATCTTTTACAATGTAATATAACTATTACAGTATTATAAAAATAAAGGGAGATTTATTATATTTACAATTTGTAGAAATGCCAAATAAAACATCACAAAGAAGAGGTCGGGCAACGGTTGGTCAGTGTCTGATTGACGATACCACCACAGTGGTCAGGTCTTTTGGTATAAATATATCCCAATATTATTACATATTTGTATTGAATAATACAATTAGACAGTTCACATTAAAATCATCCCAAACACCTATGAATTACATGTGACAAACAAGTGGGAAAGAGAAAGAATTTATGCAAAATAATGAACGCTGTAGCATGATTAAACAGGACATTTTGTGAACTCTATTTTAACAACAAACAAATATTAACAGTTCAAAGAATTCCAAAATGCTTGACTCATTCACTTGGTGTGTATATGTGCTCTATGCGCCATTTTCATCACTTTCAAGACTTCTTAATATCTCTAACTTAGTTTTTTTTAGTGTCAACCTCAACTTAACCTTCTTAACAAGATTTTCTTTCTTGTTTAGCAAAACAGGAAGAATGCTTTGGGAAAGATGTAATTAATGGCAAAAAAGATGACATCAATTCCATGAGTACTATAGAACAAAAGCATTCACATAACAAGCTCCTGGTATATTCTGCTGCATGAGATGTTTTTCCCTGATGCATTATGCACAAGAAACATGAAAAGTGTGATATGCATCCACACACATGGGAATCTTTGCCAAGCCAGGTATAAACAAAATTTGGGGAGAAAAAGTAAACCACATATACAGTTGTATGTATAAATGTGATTTTCAATTTTGTGAAATGGGAATAAACAAGTGTGAACTGTTAATCTGTCATCAAAACACCAAAGAAACCTTCCCAATTTGGTAGTTCCTCTTCCAATCAATAAAAGGCTAATGGGCAGGGACTTCCTGACTACTGTACTAAAATTTCATTGAAAAACTTACCTGCAGTCTATTTAATATGACGGGTTGTTGGTTGCGAATCACAATAGCCTCTTGGTCTGCATCATCTGGTGGAGGAGTGAAAACTTCTGCAACGTGATTTAGGAACCCACTCACACTCTTTTTCATGTTGTTTGCTGTGCTGTCGTCTTCATCAAGCTAGAAAAAATTCCAATGCTCTTAAATGACAGCATTCCATTACAAAATGTGTATACAGTACTGTACCTGTACTTCATTTCTAACAATGATTGGTAACAATTTAATAAAAAAGCCGAAAATGTAAATCAGATATGCAAAAAACAATTATTAATGCAAAATGATACTCAAAATCTAACTTTAAACACTTATAAACTTACAAACCACTATGCTAAATTAAGTTTATTAATAAAAAAGAAAAGAAATTTATGAAATGCACAGCATCAACAGATAATACTGTACTGTACTTCAAAACAAGTTTGCTTGAATATTCACCCTGAGCTTCTCCTTGAGTGTGCTGGCTGTTGAGGACACCACTGATGACGCCTCTTCAGACACAACTTTGGTAAACTCATCTATGTCTTTTTTTACAAACTCTAAAACTTCTGATGACTGAGATATCACCTGTAAAAAAGGCATGTTAAGTTTAAATAAAAATTACTTCTGATAATTGTTAAAAAAGGGAATGTAATAATATGTACTACTGTACAGCATACAAAATCCCACTACAGTAGTGGTTTAGTGATAGCATGCATGACTCAGTACAGTGTCCCGAGGGTCAGATGTGAGAAGTGTTACCCAAAGTGACACTACCAAACACCCTTCTTCAGGTACTGTACTGTACTCTGGTTTACTCCTGTATTATCAATGGATAAAGAAAGTCATAACAAAGAATAGACCAACCACCTAAAGGGTTAATAGGCTGATAAGTGATAAAAATGATAAACTAAAAAAAGAAAAATAATGAATCAATCAGTCAACATTAATATTGACAAACACCCGTCTTGTATTTCCCTAAATTATCTCTTACGTCAAAGGTACTGTACATCAGTCCTGTGCTCCAACAAAACAAAAGCTGTGAACATTATAATATAAATTTGAGTAATACTGGACTGTACATGGCAAAGTTTACCTGATTCGAATACCATGGATCCTAAATACTGTACAGTACAATACAGTATATAGAACACCATATTCTACACACACAGCGGGTAAAAATATCTATGACGTGTATTTTTTTTTTTACAGCAAAGGTGATTTAGTAGCTGCAAAAACCTTGATAACAATTATACTTTCCATAAAACAACACAAAAAATTATTACAGTATTACCAGTATTACAAGTTGTTCAAAGAATTGCTTCAAGCAAAATTTATAGAACAGGGTTACAATGGGTGAATTTATGTGGTACAGTACAGTACCTGTATACAGTGATCCTCGGTTAACGAGCACCTCACTTAACGAAATTTCGGTTAACGAATTACCTTCCATAAGATTCTTCACTTCGGTTAATTAATTACCTTCCATAAGATTCTTCACTTCGGTTAACAAGCAATCCCTCGATTAACAAATTCCTTACGAGTGCCCCTCAACATGTTTTCGCTTGCTCACTAGCTATCGTATTAGTCCGCCAATACAGTAATCAGTTATGGGGCTTAAATTCCTTACCATTTTAGTAAATACCAAGAAGGCTGTACTATTCAATCATTTTAAAAGTTTTATATTAAATTTTTTAGTCATTTTAACAATTATTGAGCATAATTGATACGAAAGTGGCCCTCGGTTAACTTTGAACTCAATCCGTTCAGAGGTGGATTAGATTATTGAATTCAGATAACGAAACCATTGTTTCAATGGGTTTTTGGGTAATTGGTTCCAGCTCACCGAAAATTTCCTAAATTCAACAAAAATGGTAGAAAGTTCACTTACTTTGAGGTGTGTATGTAGAAGGCTCCTGGATGATGATGATGATGATGGGATTTAAAATGGGGGTGGAGGAGAAGGAAGAAGAGAAGGTATTGGGGTGGAAGAGAAGTCACCCCATGGTGCCATTTCACCCATAAAATTTTAGCTCTCTGGTTTAATTCAAGATTATTTTCTTTAAATCAACGCTGCACTGCATTATATATTGTCAATATATAAAATATATTTCAAAATGACCAATAATTTGCTTGGAAACACAGAAAAAAAGCGTTTAGTTGAAGAGAGTCTCAAGCAAGATGTTACCTCCAGTGAAAACAGAGAGAGACTAATGCCTGTTTGCTGTGTTAAGAGGCTGGATGCCCCACATTAAACTAGTCACTTTACCTTCAATTTTGTTCAATAATTGTTAAAATGACTAAAAAATTGAATATTAAACTTTTAAAATTATTGAATAGTATAGCTTCTTGATATTTACAAAAATAGTAAGGAATTTAAGCCCTAGAACCGATTAATGTATTGGCGGACTGATACTAAAGCTGGTTGCCGGGTCAGTGCAAGCGAAAACATGTTGAGGTCGGTTCGTAAGAAGTTCATTAAGCGAATTTTTTTCGTTAACCGAATTGAAGATCCTTATGGAAGGCAGTTCGTTAAGTAAAATTACGTTAACCGGTGTTAAATCAGCGAGGGGTCACTGGCAAAACCAGTTTTATATGCGCAAACAGCCACTCAACACACCAAGCTTGGGGTCAGTTTGTTTACAGGTTCAGAGGAAGGAACATCTTGTTTGAGACTCTTCAACATAAACGCTTTTTTTCTGTGTTTTCAGTCAAATTATTGGTCATTTTGAAATATATTTTACATATTGATAATATATAGCGCAGTGCAGTGTTGATTTAAAGAAAGTAATCTTGAATAACACCAAAGGAACTAAAATTTTATGGGTGAACTGGCGGCATGGGGTGACTTCTCTTCCACCCCAATGCCTTCTCTCCTCCCTTCTCCTCCACCCCCATTCTAATTCCCATCATTATCAACCAGGAGTCTTCTACATGCACACCTCAAAGTAAGTGTACTTTACTGCATTTATTTTTTGTTTGTATGTAATTTTTGGTGAGCTGGAACCAATTACCCCAAAACCCATTGAAACAACGGTTTCGGTTAACGAGCAACCTTCTGGAACGAATTGTGCTTGTTAACCGAGGGACCAATGTA